GACTTGTGATGTGCAGCCAGGAACCACCTTGGATTGGGCCTCAGTCAAAGGTCCCAAAACCCTGGGCAGTTTCCCCTTAACTGAACTCCCGGCCATAAGCCCAGCAGACCAGCCTGGCACTCACCTCTCTCTGACTCACTCCATTGGGTTTCTCTTGCTCTTTGGTGGAAGCGGCCACCACACTCTCTTCCCACCCCATCTGCCTCACTGATTATTTTCAGCTTGGCTTGCAGAGGCCCAACGCTGCAATTACACCCCAACCTCAATGGCTCCTTCTGAAAATAACATTTGGGTCGAAGAAAACCTCAGTCTGGTGGGCTGGATTTTATACTAAACAGTTAAAGAGTGGGTGTGGGCATCGGGGTTGAGGGGGGGACAAGGGAGTGGCACAATGGTACAATTAAAAGAAGAATCTGGAAGAAGGCGAAGGAAGAGGAAGTGAAGAGAGGGAAGGGGTGGCGGTGGTAAGGGCAGTCGCAGAAAGAAAATCTACCTCCTGGGCAGGGGTCAGCCATCTTTTACAAGTCTTATGCCAAGTCTTCATTTATGCCTCTAATTGAAGGTTTTGTTTCTGAAATAACTTGCCCCCCCCCGCCCCATCACTGAGGCCTGGGAAATTCATGTCTGCTTGGGGCCAGAAGAATTAGTCTATGGGCATACGAATCTTTATCCAAGCTAGTGGCCAGATTTTCCAACCCTGAAATAGGAGCCACATGGTTTGACATAGGATTTTTGTTCTCTTTCCAGGTGAGAATAGCAGTCTGGGAAATGTAGTTTCATGATGCTCGTAGGTGGAATTTCCATGGTCAGTGCAGAAGAGTGGACAGGACCTTTAAAGTAGGGATTCTCACGGATATCATGAGAGATTTATGGGTTGCTTTTAGTTCTGAGGAGAGAAGGAAACCGTTGAAAGAGACCTCCATCCTACCTGCCCAGGGGGAGGGGGGTGGAGATGTAGGGGGTGAGGAAAGAAAGAACTTGGAAGCACTTTTGGAATTCCAAAGGAGGCAGACAGATTTAAAAAGGCCGTATGAGGTGAGATTTGGGGAAATAGGAGAGTTCCACACGGTAGTTAAAAGCTCTGTTCTGGAGTCAGACCGACTTAGGTTCAAATCCAGACTATACTAACCACCTGGGTGATCTCCAGTGGTAACTTAGCTGTTTTGGAGAGTCCAACAGTGCAGGCTCTAGAGCGAGGCTAGTAAGGATTTGCATCCTGGCTCTGTGATCTTTGGCAAAGGTATTTCACTTCTGTGTGCCTCCCATTTTCCCTTTGTAAAATGGAAGGGTATATATCAGGACCCAAACCTTCTCACAGCACCACTTCTAAGGTGTCCTAAGGCCAGAGAATAAAGTGCTTAGTTCAGTGCCTGGGACATTGACAATCACTCAACATATGTTAGCTCTTTTTTATTACCTCTGGAGTTTTTCTCCAAATGCAGTAGGCAAGAAACTTTTAGCTAACATACACATTTTTTTTTTATTCGAATAGTTCTGAATTTATTTTCAAGTGTATTAAAATATATGACTAACATATCAAACTGTGGTTTTGCTAATGTTATTGCTTAGGGCAAGGCTATGTAGAAAAAGGGAATCGATTTAAAGTTAATTTAGAGAATAAGGAGAGTTAATAAAAGAAGTCAATTAAAAATATATAATATAGATGGAATGTGGGTATGGAAGAAAACCATGCAGGCAATACCTGAGTGGCTGAAAAAATCGGAAAATAATCCTCGATACTTTCTGCTAATAAAACCTTCTAAGGCACATGGGTGGAGAAATGAGGCAGGAAGATACCGATCAAGACGCAATCAGAACGTTGCCTTTACCCCCCTCTGTAACCACTGTTGTTCCCTTTTTGAGAAATCCGTAGGAGGGCACGGACAAGCGAGGCCTGACGCCCTAATGAGGTCTTGGAACCCCGATAGCTTTGTGGCTTGCGGGGCTCGGGGAAGGCAGGCAGAATCCAAGGGCCCAGCTCGGGAAACCGAAAGCCAACTCCCCAAGTTCTCTCTCCCGCCGCGTTTAGGGCGATTCAGGCCTCTCTGATTTTTTTTTGGATCACTGGGTCAATCAGTCAGCCAGTGCCTCGGGAGAAGTTTAATTAAGCTCAGATCGCCGGCGCTAGCTGCCAAAGGTCTCCCTGCCCGCCCACCCCCCCCGCACATCTGGCGAAAAGCTTCTCCCCCGCCCGCGAGGCGGGGCCGCAGCCCGCGCATGCGCGTCGGCAGGGCGCCCAGCGCCCCGCGGCAGGCTCGGCTTCCAGAACCGAGCGTTGCAAACTGTTGCATCAGACAGCAAGCAGCCGGCCGGGCAGCCAGGGTTTCTAGGAAGATAGGAAGGGTTTGAGATCCTCTGTGGTCGAATGCGAGCGTTGGCTGTCCCTCACGGTGTTTACACGCTGGTAACACGAGCCCCTGAAAGCTCAAGCTTGCGCCAGTCCGGGGAGGGCCTTAGCCACAGGTGAAATTCGCTTAACCCCACTGCCTCTGCCCCCACCCCACGGCCCCAGCTGGACCAACAGAAATGGACTCCGTCTGCTTTATTAATGGCATGGGCCCTAAAGGAATGAGCTGGGTCTGATTTCTCTTCCCAAGTACAAGAATGCCCCTGAGGAATTTCTCACTCTGTGAAAGTGCAAAACTAATTTCCCCAGACAAGAGCTGTTGCCGGTTCCCAAAAGGGCTTGGAAAGACCCCAGCAGGAATGCTCAGTGGTTCCAAAGCTCTTCACCCCAGCTGCTGGACATGCAGACACTGACCACCAAGAACGTCTTGGTGGGTGGACACACGTCCTTCACAGATAGGCCTTCTTTTTAGAGTATCTCAGGCCCCTATGTATGGAGATTTTGGACATCAGCCAGAGAATGCACAACCACCAGGAACTCACACAGACACAGCACAAATGTAACAGTTCTCTAGATTCAAGTGGCTCTGCAACTCAGGTAAGGGAAGAGTTTTCCTCACTACTCCCTCATTCTTCTGGTCTCTGGGCCTCTGCCTTCCTCAAGGGGAGAGAAAATGATGCTGTAGCTAGCTAGCAGGGATGGGACAGTCTTGGGCGGGGGGCGGGGGGTCGGTGAGAAACTCAAGAAGAATGAATATGATTTGGAATCTACTCTCTAAAGGGATTTCCAGGGCCCTCATCTGAATTCTGTGGTTCAACGTTCTTTTTTTTTTTTTGGAATGGGTGAAGACCAAGTCATTGAGTATTAATGGATTTTCCAAAAAGACAAAAACTGACAATGTATACCTTAAGCATTCTGTCTTTACTAGAGTGTTGATGTTGAAAACCTATTCCATCTGAATAATCTGGAAAGCCAAAACAGGGCTAGTGTTCTTCCTTCCCCTCATTATTTTGAATAACTCAATCCCAACGTTCAATAACAAAATGACCTGAAAGACTCAGCATTATCTGACATAGCCACTTGCCAGCCAGTCACTGTTGTTTGTTTAAGCCAACATTTTCCTTTGAATGGTGGGGTATTATGGCACTACGGGATTTTTGTTGTTGTTGTAACCGATGCTTCATAAATATGGCCCAAGCTATTAAGGTTGTCCACAATGATCATATGAACTGAAGGCATGCCATCTAGGAAAGGGTAGGAAGGAGTGTGGGCAAGTGCATTTCCAGGCCTTGCTTCTGAGGGTATATCTCAGGACCCAAACCTCCTGCCCAATGGATGTCACCAAGGTGGTATCCTGGGGTCACAGGGTGTGGTCTCCCGGAGCTGCCAGGAGCTATCCAGAATGTCAGATATGTCTGAGCGATAGTCCCCACCTAGAGAAGCAAGTCATTGACTATTGTGGGGCCTCTCCAGGCATGAAAGTTGGAGCCCTGAGGTCAGGAGCTGAGTAGGAACTGGAGAAAGTGAGCTCTTGAGCTCATGTTAGGTTCTCTGTTGTACCCACAACACTTACGCATAGTGGGCTGTCAATGCATGTTTGTAGAATGAATGCCCTGAAAAAATGAGGGAAGGAGCAGAGAGAGGTAATGTCAGAGAAGTCCAAGAATTTTGCAAGAGGCCTCCTGGGATGCCCAGGGCTCTTTTGTGTTGGGCAAAGAGAGCGCTTGTAGTTCAAAGACAGGGCAAGAGAATCAGAACCGTGAAGTGACAGGTCTCCTGAGGTCCCTTCTGCCTCAGGTTCCCTGTTTGGAAAGGCCTCCAGTTGGTGATTCTATTTAACCAAGCCTAGTGACATCATCATCCATAACAGTTGCCTCACATTGACTCAGTTCCCAGAGAGAAATTCTGGGAAAGTAAGGGGTCTTAGGAGGGTGTGTGACTAAGACCCAGGGGACAGGAAAATCCCCTAGAAGCCACACTCTAAAACCATAAGCAAAGTGGCGGCCTGGATGGTTAGATGATGCAGGCACACACCAAAAGCATGATTCGTTTTCCACATTTCTTGGGCACTCACCGATTCTAGACACTATACAAAGCCCAACCCCAGACAAAGCTCCCGTTCTAAGGGCTTATGATCTAAATTCCTTGTGGAAAGTCTGTCTTTCAAATGTTTAAAGCACCTCATTCAATCCTCATTTCCACTTCAAGTCATGCACCTCCTTCCTGAGAAACCCACCAAGTTTGAAATTCATAGCTGGCCTTCCTTCTGTTTTTTTGCTATTTATGTGCCAATTTAAAGGGTGGGGAGAGCTACGTTAATTTAAAAATAAAACACAAATAGCAAAATGAGTCTTCGTTAAAGTAAAAAAACCACAGAAGGCATTTTTTTTTTCCCCTCTCATATTTTTCAGATTTTCCTAGAACCACCTTTATTTCCTCAGAGCCCAGTCATAGAAAGTGAGTGGGCCTCTCTGGATGCTCTTCCAAGCAAAAGCTACAAGCCTTATTCCTATTCTCCTCTCATTGAACCTTTAGGTTTTCTTTTTCTTTTTCAGACATTTGAGAGAGCAATTGAAGCCCCTAATTCACATGTGGTATTTCTAAGCACTCTTAGAGTAGATTTTGGTTTGTTTTTGGTCGGTTTGTATCTTACCTCTTCTGTTCAGTTGGATCAGCTTGTACATTCCGGTGATGGGAACATGGCATTAAAGTTAGATCCTCCTGGTGGATGCCCAGATTGCCATTTACCAGTCTTGTGGCCTCTTCTATCAAAAGGAGAATAATGGTATACTCCTCTCAGGGCTGTCATGAGGATTAAGGAGTCAAGACACATAAAGGGCTCAGCACAAAACAGGCTCTTAAGACACTGTAGCTATTAAAAATAGATCCTTTCAACCAATCTGCTCCTTCCTTAAACAAGCCCCTCCTCCTGTTTCGGGCGAAGAAAATTAGTTATCTATTCCAAGTCGACGATTTATCCCCATTTTACATCACCAAAGCGCCCGTGAGAAGGGGAGACAAAGCCGAGGTTGACCTGCAAACACCTGAGCCTTTTAGTGGAATGGAATCAGTGTTGCCTTTCAGCAAGAGGCGACCAAATCAGCGGTGCAGGGACTTGGGGAAGCCTTGAAGGCCCACGGTGGGATAACAGGACCACAGAAAATGGGGGAGAGTGATCAGGAAAAGCAGGATCAGGGGTGAGATGAGGGGCCAGAGGGGTGCCAGTCGCCAGGCAAGAAGGATTCCCACTGGGGGCTGCGGGGGCGGGGAGGGCGGTTCTGAGTCCAAGCGTCCGCAGGCGGAGGCTGCCGGCCCCGGGGTCTTTTGACCATGGGACCCGAGGCGCGTGCGACAGCGCCCTCTGCCGGCCGCGCGGAGCAAGCCGCCAGCCCCGCCGCTCTGCAGGTGGGACCAGGGATCCCTCCCGCTGCCTCCGCCCCCGCTCCATCCCTTCTGAGGACCGCGCGGCCGGGTTCCGACCGGATTCCGGGACACGCGTCCCTATCAGACGCCTGCGGGCTGAGCAGAGATGATGCTCGGAAACATCCGATACACCCGGGGATCGGAGGCCGCGGGAACCCACCCAAACCCCGCAGAGGCTGCGCCTCTTGGGACCCGGGGCCAAAGCCTCCCGGGCTGTCGGAGGTGGTTTGGAAGTGGCATCACCTATGGCCAAGACCGCGGGTTCTGCGGACAGAGAGGAGCCCTGGGTTCGCTTTCTGCCTCATCCATTTTCCAGCTAGGTGACCTTGGGCAAGGTACTTAAATTTCCATGTGCCTTAGTTTCCTCATCTTTAAGATGGAGAGAATGATCCCCGACCTTATGGGTTGACAGGAGGATTACATGGGATCAGACAGCCTGGGTTGGAATTCTGGCACTGACATCAGCTAGCTGTGTGCCTGGGGCAAATTACTTAACCTCTCCGTGCCCCGGTTTCCTTAAAATAGGGATAATAACGGTACTTACCTCCGAGGGTTGTTGCCTGCAAAACGCTTAACACAGTGCCTGGCACAGAGTAAGCGCTCAATAAATGGTGGCTCTTATGGTTGTTGTCGTTATTATTGTTCTTAAGAGCGCTGAGCACACGAGCAGAACTCTAGCGGGCTGCTATTATTAGTCTCTTTCTTGGGTCCGGCTATTTCTTTCCGGGCATTGTTAAAATCTTTTACCATGCGGTCGCGTCCTTATCAGTAGCCGAAGGACAGCCGGCCTTCCTGAGATTGGAAAAATCGAGGTTCCCCTGGAGGAGGGCCAAGGACGCGGCCGCGGGCTTCAAGGACCGGGACCTCCCCGGGGGACACCCGCGCCACGCCGCCGCCGCCCGTGCCTCCATTAGCGCGCTCAGAGCCGCAGTGACGTCGCCAGGTCCCGGCGGTGGGGAGGCGCGGC